TTCACTTTAAAACAATGATCTTAATTATCAATGTAACTTTTTCAACCAAAGTAAACATTTTTTAGCTATAGATTCAAAATATTCAGCACAAAATGATTTAAAAAAAAAAAAAAAAGCCTTCTTTTAAAATATTTAAAGAGAAAAAAAACAATACCAGATATTGTGAAGTAATTTGGTAAATATACAAACTTAATGAGTTTTTTGTCTTCCATTTGGATAAAATGAAAATGAATAATCTGCTATAATTCTTCAAAAAATATATTTAAATTTTAGGTGAATTTCTCTTTAATATTGTTAGGGTACTTTCTTCTTTGTAAAGTTTAAATATTTAACCCTAATAGACAGATAAATAACTTTTCTTTTTCTTTTTTTTCCTATTGTTACCAATTTATGGGAATATTTCTGCCTGAGGCAGATACACACCTAACACCTGTGTTTTCATTTTAGATGAAATCTAGAATGTCTTATGGCGCTCCTCTTCTTTTGGAACTCATTTGGCTAAAGTTAGTACCATTTCAACACATTCACTGTAAGCATAATAATACATATGTGAGTTAACTTCTGTTTTCCTCCCTACCTTGTATTGTATTTCTTATTTGATGTAAATGCAGGTAAGTAAAGCGTTTATATATAAACTATTTGTGTGACATTTTTTTTATCAAGCACTTCAGATTTTTGCTCTTGAGAATTTGTAGATTGAGAGAATTGTTTTTAAAATCATTTGTTTTTCATAACACTTGTTTAAACAGCTTATGATCCAAAGCCAAAAAAAAACTACAAAAACATCACATTATTTTCTCTGCCACTCCCACCTGAAATTATTTACAGAAAAATGCTTGGCACTATATGACATAAGTTTCTGTAATGGTTTCTCCTTCTTTATAAGATCTACTTATTAGTCTCAAATGGAGATATTAAGACGGTTGCTCTGAAAGTAGTGTCTCCTTAGTTTTAGCACAAGGTATGGAGCACTCAGTGGAGATCAAATTCGTTTCTCATGCACTCCTTTTTTATATTGGCTCATCACATCAAAGGTAGATGTTGGTGGTACAGCAGTAAGTTTGAATCTTCCCTCCAATAACTTTTTCTTTTTTTTTTTTTTTTTTTTGAGATGAGTAGCAGTATATCAAAAGCGGCACCTGCTAATATAAGGCTGCATACAAAACAAAGGTCTCATTAAATTCTTCCATGCAGAAAAAAATTGTACCCATTGACTTTGATGGCATAACCTGTGGTGGTGACTATATAGAAAAAGTGTTTTTTTAGATGAAACTTGCTCTACCCAACATTGTTATTGTGTATATGTTGTAGTTTTCATGGAAATAAATTACTTTCAGAATCTCTCTTATATAGTTGCCATTTTTACTCTTTTTGCCAATTGGCTTTTGTAAAAATTTGATAAAGGTTAAATTCTTTATCTTGGGATTTGACATTTCCTAATAGTAATTTCATTACCCATTTTAAATTCACTTTGCCTGCACATTTTCATAGCAAATGTCTGGTTCACATTTCTTTCTACTGCCTACAGTGGTGGTTTGTATGGTGCAGCTGCTAAAGATGATTCTCTAATCAACCATAATTGGTCCAGGTTTAAATCAAGAATACATTCTCAATCTTAAGGTAGATTTTCAGGTTATTTTTTATATAAAGTACAACCCTGTGCAATTATGGATCTGCTCTTTTTTTTTAATTACAAACACATCATCTAAAAATTGTCTTCTGAGTTTTAAATTTCATAGTTTATATTTAATCCATTATGATGAAGAATTTTAAAATAATTATATAATGGCCCTATTCTATCAGTAATATTTGCTTTCATTTGTACCAGTCAATATCCTTTTTTCCTGATTTTTCAATGTTGCAAGAGATTAGGTCTAAGCTTGTAAAATTTATTGCTTGACCAGATTTTTTTCTCCATATCACCAGAAGTATTTACTTTATTAGTGCAGAAAATGACTAAAGCTAAAGGAGTGTTGGTTAACATTAAAGTCAGTCAACTACAATAAGGAAAGCTGGAAGGTTTGAATTCAGTTGGTTAAGTTTACCTGCAATTATTTAAAAATAATTTGTTCATGTCAAAATGGTAACATATTTAAAAAATATTAATATTTAGTTTAAATCAAATTGAGTGATTTCTTTCTTGCTGCATAGAATTATCAGAAATGAAAATAGCTTTTATTACTTCTGCATAACAAATAATTTCTTTTAGATTTAGTTTATTTGGTTTTAACAGGATTACAAAGTGTGGAATTTCTATTAAAACATCTGAAAATATTGGATGTTGAAATCTTGGCAATTTTCCCATTATTTCTTAGTTATAGAATTAAATATTAGTAATATATAATTTTAAACTAACATTTCAAAGAAACTTAAATCTCAATTCTATGGCATTGTATTTTTTACCCATTTTGGAATTTAGAAAATTTATATATGGAAACTTTGCAGTGCATTCTGCTAATGTTACTCCTTTCCTGGAAATACCATATTTATAATAGTAAAGCTGAAATAGTATTTCCTCACAAATTGATATATTTATGAACTTAGTCTTGTTGATGTTACCTTATATAGTTTTTTTGTTGTTTTTTTTTATTTTGTATTTATTTAGTAAATAACATGTACAATACCTTGATCTTTGCCAAAATACAGTGAAAAAGACTCCTCCATTGCACTATCAATACATAAATTTTGCATTTCTTCTATTTCTGATTGTAGGGGTGGGGGGAATTGTTCCAATAACTTAAAATTAAAAAAGATGATGATTCTTTGAATTAAACTGGATAATATTGCTTGCAGTTTTTGTAATATCTTAATCAAAATGATTTATGAGGATCTAGAAAATAACACTGTTGTATTTGATTCCATGACCCAAATTGCTCATTAAAATGAAAATATTTTGTAGCTAAGACAGATTACACATCTTTGCTAATGCTAAATCTTTTAACATTAACAAAACTAGGTACTCTACTCCCATTTAGCATTTTTCTCTATTTAAATATTAGAAGGAACATATTTCCATAGTTCATAAGTTAACAAATGAGAAAATATTTTTACTAAATTGCTTTCTTAATGACGGTCATTATCTTTTACAGTTGTAAATTATTTAATTTATTGGCAATGTGATTATGTCAAAGTAATTATTGTAGATAAATTAGATGTCTGTTTATATTTACTTTATAATATGCATTCTAGAGCAGCCCTGCAAATTGTACCAAAAGGATTCTTTTTATTACATTCTAGAAAGATACTCATTAGGGTTGATAGCACCCAAGGTGAATTTAAAAAAGTAGCAGCACCTCTTGAGCCCAGTAGTCTTAGCAATTCTGAATTAATTTAACTTTATCAAAGTCAGAAAACCAAGAGCTCTAGCTAAAAGCATATATTTTTTCTTACATTCTTATTTTTTTTTTATACCACTGAATATTATGGATTTTACTATTATTGTATATGTTGAAATTGCTTACAAAAGAGTTAATACTACACAAAGTTTAAAGAAAAATAAGATTTTATTTTTTATTCTAGGAAAAGGTCTACTATTGTAATTGTCTGGATTCAGAAGTAAATATATCTATTTTGAATGATTGCAAATCATGGATTTATTGTATGAACTTGTGCTTTGACTTATCAACAGGCAGTTTTTAATATTGATAATGTTCATGTAGGTTTAAATTTCATTCTTTCATCTTTTCTAATTTGGTGCTAGACTCTTCCATCAGATAATGAAATTTAACCTTTGATCTGAAGTCCATGGACAGTTTCTCCAATCTCAACAACTAATCTGACAATGACTGATTTTCTACATGAAAATTTACTTAGCATCTTCAATAATTATACATTTTATTAATCCACCTCTTTACAAGGAGGTGTTGAAAAGTTCTCAAGAACTTTTTTTTCTCCCAAAATACAGCCAAATCCTTAAAATCTTGCTATGAATCCCTTGGGCTGGGATCTTTTAAGCAATCCCTCTCACTCACACACACACACACACACACACACACATATATATATATATATATATATATATATATATATATATATATTAGAGAGAAAGAGGCTATTACTCGTAAAAATTAGAGATAATTTTTCCCATTAAGTAAAATGTTTACTAATACATAAATGAGGACCTTTAAAACTTACCGACTTCTTCAGGCAGTACTTGCAATCACAACCAAATTTTGGAAGTGAAGTTTATGGTTATATTTCTTTAAATCAAAAATCGAAATATTCACCTCCCCTTTTTATGTAGTTTCCTTGTTTTTATTTTTTTATTTGTTAGACCTTTCAAAAAGCTGAAATCTGACTTTTACACAATTAGTCATTCTAAATCCACCCACTTCTTTTTTACTATGGACCCTGGCCTAGTTTATCACACACTACTAGCTAAATTTGGCACAATTACTAAAGAAGTGTTCTTTAACAGAGTGAAAGGAGGGTGTTGTTGTAGATAATGTGCTAATTATTTATTTAACCAGAATTATATCAACAAGTCAGACAAAATAAAACTGACAATTGTGAATAGAATTTGGTTGACAGTATTCCCAGTACTTAAACTTCAACACCAATTAATAAAACTGCTGGTCTTTCTGGTACAAAAACACTTACAAATTTAGCTTTTTTACATTGATAAGCTATAATAATACCCTTGTTTTATTTATAATAACTTTGATCCAGAAGATTAAGTTTCTTGAAAGAAACTACAGATAATTAGACATAATTTTTGCCTATATAACAGTGAAGTATTAGATTATCAGGAAATAATTCTAGTTCCCAAATATATGAACTTGATGTGAGTTTCTTACAAACAACTAATTTGTTTGACTCATCCTGAAACTAATGATTTTTTGCAATCCCAGACTCTTCAATGAATGTTTTTACATCCGCCTTCACATTTTTAAATTCTTCTTCCAGATCTTCACAAAAATAAACAAAAGACAAATAAATTGTTTACAAAAAATATAGCACTCATTTTTGTTAGTGATATTTTAATTTTTCTCTTATTTCAGAATGGACAACAACCATGAAAATCACAGTTTTGCCATGCAACTTGTCAATGAAATGAACAATTCTCATTTATCTGAATGGGACATGCATAGTCCCAGTTTTCAATCTTTGACCAATAGCAGATTATGTACAGAAGACAATGTTGATGAATACATAACTTATTTAAATAAGGTAATCATTTAAGTTTTTTTACCATTTCTAATTTATGTAATCTGTATGATTGCCTTACTCTTTAATCATAATTTACTGACTAGTAACTAGGAATTTAAATAATGCAATCTAGTATTCTTAAATGGTTATCTTTTTTAATCAGAACCAGTATGCTCTCTAGCTTTCCTCTGGTGCATGTTACATCCAGTAATCTTCACGGAACTTTGAACAGAAATTGTTTTTCTTTTCCTTTTCAATCTGACTTTTGCACAAATAATATTTTACATTAATGAGTTAAGACCTTCAATAAGCACCTTATAAGACATTTCTTATTACTCTGTTATTTTTAGTGTGTACACATGTTTGAGTTCCTATCACTGATTTTTGTTTACTTAAACAGTGAAATTAATAACCAGCCTAGACTGAGAAGATATGATAAAATGTGCAAATGACCCTTTTTCCCCAAAATAAGTTAAATTTTATTTTTGTTGGTAAAGGACACTGGCATGTGCGAAAGTTCTGATTTTTAACATTTTTCTCATGTTACTATTTTTTTCTAATTGCTTAATAAATATTAATGTCTTTTTGAATTTCTCCTCAGCCTACTATACCTACGTTTTGTAATAAAAATACATTGACAACTTTTCTCTCAGTCTAGAGATGATTAACTGGGGAATTTTTATTCAAAGTTCTGTTATAATCCAGAATGATGATGATGATATTTCAGCATTCTAAAATCTGAAACTTTGTCATTATAAGAACAACCCTTCCACCAAAAGCAAGGTGAGTAGAGCAACAGTAGTAAAAAAACGCAGATCTCTTCTTCACTCTGTAAAAATCCACAGTTAATGGTATCAAACACTACCCTTAACAACAACAATTCTTGGAACAAGCAAAAACAAGTAAGCACAAACTTCTAAAGAGACAATAACACTGAGAACATTTTTAACACACAATACCAATATTGTAATTAACATCACCAAAAAAAAAAAAAATACACATTTTTGTCATTAATTTTAACACATCTCAAGGTCTCATTGTTGTTTATTATGTTTTATTCAATTCGTTTTCAGTGTTAAAAATAAAAGTAATAAGTATTCCTCTATCAACTACTACTACAAATACATATAACAACAGGGTAACTTACTTTGCACATACCTAATATCCAATCACATTAAAGTTCTTGAAGATTAGTGATTATGGCATGCACCAAAAACATCACAAACATAAGAATACTAAGCTAAATGACTATATTTCATGTACAAATTTACCTGCGAAAAACAAGCCAAAAGGACAGTTTTTCTCTCAACACTACTATTTCTCTATATTCTTTAGGTAATTGTTTTAAAAAGCATGTTTAATAAAACTCAAATATATGAAACTGAATTTAGACATATTTTTCTTGAACTGGCAATAAAAATATTAACAAATCATGAATAATGTTTTTCATAGTTATTTCTTTATAATATGTTAAATAAGTTATTGCATTGCAGTTGGTTTACATATTTTCATAATGTTGCAAATATAGAATTATTCTGGTAAAGAAACAGTCTTGTAAATAATTTGACATTTTTGTTATTTCTCAAGGAAAAAGGAAATGTATAAATCCAGTTGCATATGTTTAAGTTATATTAAATTTTTTAAAATACTAAAAATTGGTAAGAGAATGTACAATAATAAAGCACTCAAGAGAAACACCATCCTTTTTGACACACTGTTCTTTTGCGGTACATTTGCTTAACATTGCCTTTTCACAAAACATGGAAAATGCTTTTGGTGACATCAGCATTTGATTTGTTTGTATAGAATAAAATGATGATACCGACATATAATACTGCTAATATGATACCAATGTATAATACTAGCCGATAGTGTGCAATATAACAATGGTATTAAGTATATATGCTCATGATGCCAAACATGGCATAATTAAATATTTGTTGCATTTTCTTGTTGTCTGGAAGGTCATATTTAAGCAAGTCTTTGACTGGTTCCCTCATAAAATAAAATTTTGATAATCTTTTCTTATTTATAGCATTGTTTGGCATTTACATTTTTCAGAATAAGTGACCTTTTTATGCTTTTTAAAATGCTTTTTGAAGAGTTTATAATAGCCCACTCCTACATAGAAAGAATATAGAGAAAATATATATTGGGTTAGAACAAACATTAGACAATTGAACATAATTTTATTTCACCTGTGACTAAAATTATATATTTTGGAAATGTAACATTTCAGTGCATCTTTCTATACAATTCATGCGTTGAATATAATAAACACATTTTGATTCAAGCACATTATCTTCAAAATCAATTCTTGTTTCTTAGGTTACCAAATATTCATCATTTAAGTATTTCTTATGTCAATCATTACTCCTTAATAAGTATCATATCAAGTTCAATATTTGTGAAATTTTATGGTTGTGATGAAAAATGCATTTGAATTGACAAAAACCTTTGTTTTTTATTTATTTTTTTTAATAACAGGTATTCCGAAACATGTGCCTGTCATCTTGGATTGATGAAGAGCAAAATCAGACTGTCTCCTTGGTGAATGCCTGTTTTGAGTTGATTGAAAGATACCAACAAGACAGTCGTATCCGAGAAGATTTGGAAGCAAGGTAAGTAACAAATAAGTGACTTAAAGCAACTACAGGAAAATTTTTGTTTTTATGGTGTTTGCTTTTTCTTGTTCTTCCTCATACATTACATGTGTATATTTTACATATAAAAATGTCTTTGTATAGTTCTTGTTGGAAATCAAAATATGATAGAATAAAGATGTTTGTTGAGGTAAACCAACTTTGTTACAACTTGCAATGGCTTGCAAAACAGTATTCATCAGCCCACAGCCAATTGCCTTGAGCAGTCAATGCTTGATGATTAATATTTCAAAAAGCCTATTTCAGTCTTGACATGTATATTTATGTCTTTAATTATATGCATATTTACTTGACCTAGTTTTGTCTAATACAAAGCCATGATAGAAGACACAGTGAATTTCAGAATTCGTAAAGACTGGTTTCTGAAAGCAGCTTGTTGTCACTCTACAGCAGATACTTTCTTTTGCATTAGCTAAACTGTTCAATGAAGATCAAACACAGTCCCATTAGATTGCAAGATCTGCTCACTAAACATTATACTACTGTGATTAATGCATGTATTTAACACTAATAAATGTATACTGATGTCCATTATTTCTTGCATTTCCTGTCCAGTCATATTGATACACAAAACAAATTAGAAGCTACACTTCTCTTATTACATAATTTAGTAAAATAATTTAATTCTAATAAGCACTATTGTGTAATTTTCAAAAGCTGATCTGATCAAAACCTGTAAAATCTGTTTTATCATCAGAGTATAATCCTTAAATGCAGTTCCAAATTTGTTAAATAACATTGTGTGTGTGTGTATATATATATATATATATATATATAATATATATATATAATATATATATATATAATGCCACTCTCTGGGCTAAAGTGGCATTGGGGATTACCCTTAACATTTCTAACTGGATTGTAATTTTCACTTTTCTGAAGAATGGTGTAAAGGAGACATTATCTATCTGCAATGCAAATAAAAATTTCTTTTTTGCCTTAGAAGCATTTATGAAATAGATTAAATTTTTTTCTTTAATGCTGCACACAGAAAAAGTTTTAATGTATGAAAAATACTAAAATAAAGCTTAGTGTTTTAGATTTATTTTTTTAAATAGATTGAAGCCAAACAAAAATATAAAAAGTTCAACTACTTTTCTTACATAGCAATAAAAATAAGCTACAACCAAAAGAATCCACTGGGTACTAATATTTACTCTGTTAAATATATTAAAGGGTCAAAGAAATAAAGTACCCAATGAGGATTTACTATGTTAGTAATGGTCTCCAACTTGCTAACCATTGCTCTAGCATTTGGTTAACTATAGGTTTGAACTTAAAATAAACTTGTGTTATTAGAGAATTTCCTTTATATAATTCCAGACAAAATTTTTCAGTTTTAAAAATAATGCTAATTCTAAGAAAAATTTGAAATATTCATATTTTATTTTTAATTCTTCATGTTGAATGTTTTGATTTAAAAAGAAATAAATAAAACTTTATTAATTGCAGAACTCGGCGCACTATGAGTGATTATGATCAACTGCAAACGGCTCAGCTTCGACTCAAAGAGGATGTGGAACGACTTGAACGTGAAATTGCACTCAGACAAGAAAAGGAGAAAGATTTAGCTAGTAAAAATAGAAATCTTAGTTCTGCTATCAAATCTGAAAAAGATGAGGTAAATTGATGCAATTTTTGTTTTACACTTGATCAACTATTTTTTTTTTGTCTTCTAGAAAAAAAACTGTTTATCTTATGTTTTACTATTAAGCAAGCAGCATGGATTGAAAAATGGCTTCTAACAAAATTTGAAACTTGTATTTCTATCTTTAGGAATCCAGCTGATCGATGCTTTACAAATTAGGCCATGAAAATGCATCAGCCAGCAAAACACAAAACTCATCATTCTCTCTACATTCTTCCTTATCCAATTTTATCTGCACCATATGTAAAATAAACATAGCAACAAAAATAAGATGAAAGATAAACTAGTCTAAATTTAATAATGTAAATTATTCATCTAAAATATTTAGACATCAGCTTGGTTTTCTTTTATAATGTGCAATTTATTAAATTAATAAAAAAAAAATAGAACCAATTAGCAACTCAGTACACTCAAGTTAATCCAAGAGAAGAAAAATTTATAAATACTGGCAACATTTAAAAAAAACTGATACATATTGATCCATATTCAGTAAAATCTAGTGATAGAAACTGGAAGGGTTACTGTTAACTCTTAACATTGAAAATAGTTTAATGAATTGAGCTGGCTATGTTTAAAGAGGAATTATATTATTCAAATAAGTTGTTTAATAAATTAATGCCCACCCTCCCAAAAATGGGAGTGGGGGCAATAGTGAGTTAATCGTTAGTACTCAGCAGTGTCTTTGTTAAATTTGTCCTGCCACTACATGTGACTCTAACTGCCAAAAAAATAGTGTTTAAATTTTCTGGTTAACTTGTCATGGCCAACTATGGCAAAACTAAAACCACCCTGGCTGCAGTTGTAAGGTTACCATCTACAATGGAAAGGGAAGTAATACTGGGAATAAAACAGATTGCTAAAGGTTAAGTATTTTCTCATCATTCACCATTTACATTATTCTATATGGGGTCATATTCCTATTAAGCTGACACTTGATACAAAAGATCTTATGAAGTGGTTAAAATGATACCAATTACTCTTGAGTAGATTCAACTGATTTTTCATTTTTATATTTGTGATTGTATAAAAGCTTAAATCAAGGTTTGTTTACAGAAATGACAATTGTTAATCTGATCCAATTCTCTTTCTATCTTCCAATTAAAGGTGAAGCGGCTGCAGTCTGTGATTAATCACAGAGAATCTCAGTACAAGCATGAATCCAAGAAAAAAGAACGTGAGAGCAATCGATTAAAGGAAAAACTAAATCAGGTCCTCATGGATAAATCACAAAAGTTAATTGGTAATTTCCCTATTCTCACCAGTGTTGGGTTGGGGCAAAAGTTCATAGTTTGAACACATGATTTTTTTTCTCATGTAACTGAAATTTCACATATATACATATTCTCAAAGGTTATGTTTCCATGCATCTTTCTATACAATTTGTGCATGGATTGCAAATTTTAAATGTTTTTACGTTAAGTGAGAATGTCAGAAAATGATTCATTTTCATTATTTAGTACACTTTTATTTCCAGAAAGGGGGGGTGTAGACTCGACAAAAAAGATATGTGCCAACTATGAAGCTGCTGCCATAGTTGAAAGAACTGTTCATAAGCAATTTGCTAGGTTCAGAAGTGGAAATTTTAATCAGGAAAGCCAGGTCTACAGTAATTCATCATGACCAAATTGAAATGCTGATTAAAAAAAATCTGTCACAGAACATTACGGAAATACTCCACATCTAAGTGTTGTAAGACATTTGAAAACATTTGGATATGTGAATTTCTATGTTTCGGTTTCACACAATTTAATGGAGAGGGGAGAAAATGAATGGCCTCTTTCCACCTGCTATTCTCTCCTCACAAAGAACAAAAGTAACTCATTTTTAAAAGAAAAATCACAGACAATGCAAAATAGATTGTTTACAACAATATGGAGCAAAAGAGATCGTCGGAGAAAACAAAATGACTCGCCATTAACCATTCCAAAACTGGTCAGTATCTGAAGGAGGTGATGCTGTGTACCTGGTAAGATTAGATTGGCATCATGTATTATAACCCCCTTCCTCAAAGTCTAGACATTGAATTCAAATGAATACTGTTTCCAATTAGACAAATAAAGTGTTCAGAATTTGTCAATCAAAAGTGTCATCTTCCATCAAGACAATGTTAGACTTCTCATCTCTTTGCAGACCCCAGCAGAAATTGGTACAGCTTGGCTGTCCTACTATATCCTCTGTACTTATCTGACCATGTACCTTTAGATTACCACTTATTTTGATCCCTACTAAATTCTCTAATAGAAAGAACTTCAATTCTCTGTAAAATCCTCTTAGATCACTTCATCACCCAGAAAAATGAAAAGTTTTGGGAAGACAGAATAACGAAGCTACCTCAAAGATGGCAAAAGACAGTTGAACAGAATAGCATATAATTGTACATAGATTTATTCAACCACATATCTAAATATTCTTTGAAATTCACTTTTAAAAAAAGCTTTACTTCTGACCCAATATTTAGATTACTTTTATTCATATAGTTAAGACATTATCAGACTTAATGGCATTTGCTCTATTTGATAACATTGCTAGGATTTTCATATCAACCTGTTGAATAGTAAAGTTTTGAGCTCCTTCACGTTCAGCTTTCACATTCTTGGCAAACCTGGCATCTACCATCATTCACTGACCTGTTTTGAAGAAATATACTATGTAAATGGTAGTATTTTGTGTGTAAATCTTTTTCCTAGTTATCAGTTTTTATTTTTTTTTTTTTTTTTAATTATTCTATATTTAATCACTATATATATATATATATATATATATACACACACACACTGCAGCTTGATTGAAAAAAAATTAGGAAGGTTTAGAAAAATTTGCACCTAAAAATTATATTTATGTAATGCCTGTTTCTACAGATTTGTAGCAGTGCTTCCTGTTGTTTTAGAAAAGGTAATTCAAATTATGTGCAATTTATAAATTTAAGAAATTTATTATTGAATTCCAACATTTGTCACATAAATTTCCCTCACCAACAGCTGATGACCATCTGTAGAATAGGTGAATATGGCTAAGTGATAGCTTCTGCAACTATTTATCAAGTATTGTAAACATATAGAAAGTAAAAGTAAAGGTCTAAAATTGAGTATATTTTCTTAGCTAAGAATTGAAGCCTAGCAGGTGTACTTACAGGGATAATACTAAAGAGTTGGCTATGTAATCCTGTGTTATCATATTTAAAATTGTTTCGGTGACTGCCTTAAAGTGATAGCATGTCTCACTTAATATAAATACATTTGTTGCTCTTTTCCTTTTTAGATACATCTGTCTCTAAAATTGTGGATTATGTGAAATCTTTATCTTTTATTTATATGAAATGAAACCATTTTAGCATAAAACTGATTTTATCCAGGAACTTTATAATGATTATATTCTATTTAAGTTTAGTATTATACCAGACTTTCATATTTTGGATATCTGTACTTGGAGAAAGTTTAAATGTTTCTTTTTAACCAAGAAAGTATTGTCAGCTTTGATATAAAGAAAATTTTTTCACTTAAACTTTTGTGTAGAAATTAAGATTTCATTCTCTAAACAGTTTACAAGTGAATCAAAACGAAGAAGAAAAATGGTGGTTCATGACATTGGAGTAACACTAACAATGGCTTTTGATAATTTTAATAAAGAACTGATAAACCCACTCGAACATTTGTAATCTGTTAGGTTGTTGGAATTTGGTGTTTTATAAAGTTTATCTACAGGGTTCTTCCCTTTAGAATAAGGGAAATAACTTCTAGAGTATCAGGACTTGCTTGATATATTTGAGTCAAAACTCTAAAATCTACTTTAAAAAAATATTTATTTAAAACAGTTTTATAATAATTGATATAGTATGGAACAAGTTAATATTATAAAATTCAGCAAAAGAATGAATTTGTTGTTAAGGATGATATAAAATGATTGGTTAATATTTCCTTCCTTAACTATTATGACATGAGCAAAGTTTTAATATACATACCTGCAAAAAAAATGGTGTTGAGAGAGAGAAGTTTTTTCTCTTGAAACCGCTATTACTCTATACTCTGTTGGTAATTTTTATTGTTTTAAAAAGCTATTTTTAGAATTTGTTTTTTTTTGAGAATTGACAACAAAAATATTAAACTGAAAGAAGTGGCTGGAAAATACATTTTTTGCCGTTTTATAATTAGTTATGTGTTTATTTGAATTTTCTTGTTCAGACATTTTTATAGATTTATGAATAAAAACGTTTCTCATAGCTATTTCTTTATAATATGACAATAAATATTGCATTGTAGTTGGTCTACATATTTTTATAAACTTGTAGATATAAAATTATTCTTATAAATAAACAATCTAATAAAAAAAATATTTAATTCATTTGTTGTCAATTTTCAAGAAAAAATGTTTAAAGTTTTAGATGTTTAGTTTTAAATGTTTTAGTTTCATGTTTGGATTTTCTAGAAAATTCTAGAAGTAACTTTTTAAATTAATAAAAATTGCTGTGGGAGTATACACTAATAGCAATATCAATAGAAAAACTGTCTTTGACACACCATTTTTTGCAGGCACAAATGTTAAACTGTGCCGTAACATGTTTTTAATATCTGCCTATATTTCTGTAACTATTTATATTGTTCAAACTGAAGAAGGCCAGACCATACAATGGCCAAAATGTTGTGAATATGGCAATAAAGATATGACAACAGTCAATATGTAAATAGTGTAAATATTGATTTTAATGTTGGAAACTATTTTCTACATGCATTTTTTTATTCTTAGGTAATGAAGTAATAAATATACTTCCCAAGACAGACACTAAAAGAGGTACCTGGAAAACAACTTCTAAGTAAGTGGTTTGTTTATTGTATTATTTAAATTTGAACATGTTTATATGCATGTCACCATCAAGACATTCAAATAAAATTATCATAATAAACCCTGTAATTGTTTAGCATGTATCAACAATCCTGTTTGTGTTTTCAGAGGGAAAAATGCAAATACAACTTTATTCAATATAATAGTCTGTAAATGAATGTTTATAAAGCTTGTTGATTGTCTTGCTCAACTAACTCATATTACAATAATTATATTTGATATTTTTAGTTTACAAATTTAGTTCCAATTAATTTTTCTTAAGCTGGTGACATTATCATGAACTAAACAATCCAGTAGTCATGTGTTCGTTCTTGTTTATAAGATATTATTATAGAGGTCAGAGTAATAAGATAAACTGATCTAATAGTAATTGAAATAAATATGATACATATAACCTCTTACCACTAAAAAGACATTACCCTCTCTTAGTTCAGATATGGTGTTCATGCAGGTGTCAAGATTGAAGATTGTGTGACGGATAAGATAATAGGGCTGGCGTACTGGATTTTAGAGATTGATGTTTACAGATTGAGTTTTTTGAATTGAAAAGAGAGTGCTAGCTTCCACATGTCATGATAATGCCTGTTGAAATTGCTTGCATCTGGTTGTTATAGAACTAGTAACTGAGACATACAACAAAAGAAATAGTACAATGGAGCACTTAAATTTTTGACCAAACTAAGAAATTCCACAAAGAACAACAACAGTAATATATTTTGGGTCAAAAATACATTTAATCCATATCACCAGGCATGATAATGATTTTATTTATTTATATATATATATATATATATATATATAGTGTGTGTGTCATGAATGGTGACATGAATTAAATGTGTAGTCAATATAAGCTTCTGTCAATTGGAAAATGTAGAGGCCAATTTTACATTACTACTTTTAGGTTGGGAACTGCATTTGTATTCACTTATCTTCTCACATTAGACATATACTAAACCTATTGACTGTTGATGATATATAAATGTTTCTAGTTTTAATCAGCAGTGGTTGTAGCAGAACATTGTTTTAACTGAAGGGTGTTTAAAAATCCAATACTTATCATTATCATAAATAGGTATTTCTGTGTTCACATGAATCCAACTGGTTAAAAATGGACTCTTAATCTAATGAATATTTAATACTTTCAGACCTTAGAAAAATTTAGCAATTTACTCATGACCATAAAAGGTATTTAATATACTGGATCCTTATCTATAAGTTAGAGTAATTCAATTTAAATGTTCTGCTATTAACATTAGCAATTTCAATCTTAAAATTACTTATTGGCATATTAAGAAGAATGGCTGAAAAAGATAGTAACAATGTTTATTGCACTTTTTATAAAGTAAAATTATTGTCTGCTGGGAAGTAATACTAGTTATAATTTTTATCCCATTTTTAAAATGTATTATTCACAAAAATATTTTAAAAAGAAAAACTACTTTCCACTAACATTTCAGTTTTTTAAATTTATATTTTTCATTGACTGATATCTATGAACTAGCAGTAGAGCCCGGCATTGCCCGGGGATGTAACAGTAAGAGATAGATCAAGTATCGACCATCATAAAGACTGAAAAATATTATAAAGATTATTGTTTAAGGTTGACGGACACGCATATCTTAATTAGTTTTTTTTTTTTTTTTTACGAATTGGTCAAACCCAAACTCAAACAAAAACATTGTTTACAATCGTTATGAGTCTACCAATTGAATCGAATTTTATTATAAACAATTGTCTTGTAAATGGAATTTTTAAAGCATTCTGAAAGTAAAAATAAAGAAAAAAGTGTGCAAGACAATAAGAAACACTACCTGCCAAAAAAGTGACTTTTTGTTGAAATCTGTTGAGAAATGTAGGAAATCCGATCCCATATATAAATGAACACACACACACACACACACAAAAACACACACAACCTGGGTTTTATAAGTATAACTCGATATGAGTTGTCCCCCTTTCATTCTGGCGAGTGATACCTCTTAATCATGTTTTCAAATTGATTTTGTGCAAAAACAATTGTTTTTTCCAATTTTGGGCGCTGTCAGAATCACAAGAAGGTAATTTTACACAGTCCTGTGAAGTTTTGTTGAAATCGGTTGAAAAATGTAGGAAATCCAATCCAATATATAAACGTACACACACATACACACACACAATCTGTGTTTTATAATAAGTAAGATTTCATTTTGTAGACCACAAATTTCTTTAACATTAATAGAGAAAAGGAATTTGATTTCTTTCATTTGACATTTTTGTCTTTCTAGACCTGAAGAATTATACAAATTGATGTTGCGAAACTATGAAGAAAAACAGAAAGAAATGATGCAAGAAAACTTGGATTTAAGGAGTTGCCTGGCTACTATACAGCAACAACTCCATTCCATAGTTGAGTGTTACAAAGCCCGGTTGAGAGTAAGTTAATTAATTTAATCTTGTAATATATTGTCTGACTACATGTAGACAAAAAGTATTGCATGTGTTTGGTTTGGACTAATTTCCTGATGGTTTTTTCTTTTTATTGGTTAGGTGTCTGCAATGAATAGTCATCTCACAACTTGGACAGAAATCCGCAGTATCACACAGCAATCACTATTTCTCTTTACAGAGACAGACGTTGTCTCTTTGACCAACAGTATCATTATCAATGGTGATAGGCAGCTCAGTCTGCATTTCATTTCCACTACATTTCCTCATTCTTTGTCAGGTGTCTGTTGTGTTTGAGGATATAGAAGTCAATCGGCAACAATCTCAAGAACACACATATAAATACTGGGCATGACGTGTATGATAGAGAATGGACATGCTCTTCTAAAATTAGATTTGACAACATTCTAAAACAAGATACTTTAATTAAACTTTTTTGTAAGTGCTAAAAAACTTCCTTAACACTAAAAACTGACCTAGATGATTGATATGCCAGAAAATAAAATATTAGGTTAAACAAAAGCAAAACTTGAGTCAAATTTGAACAGATGTGTTCATGTTTAAACATTTTGGTATAGAATATTATTAGTTGTTTTTGGGGTTTTTTTGGGTTTTTTTAAGTAACATAAATCGGCTCCTCTCAGGTAGAATTTGTAGTGGAAATGGAAGGCATGTATTATCACAAGAAACATTGAGTTGTATTCAACACTAATTTACTTTGCCACATGGTAGTGTGGAGATGCAAATATTAGTGTATAGGTATCTGCTGTCCTAGGAAGTTGTGCACATGCAAGGAAATCTTACCAAAAACAAATGTTTTTTGTAATCAAAAACACATACATGAATCATCACTTAAGCAAATAATTATAAATAAAAAGCAAACATTCATCAAGGAAGACTGTAAAATGTATATTGGTATTGAGCAGAAAATATATAGCAGAATGTTTTCTACCAGTTATCAGCTGGGACAGAAAATTGTTGGTAGAATTTGTTCTGGGGTGACACTGTATTAGTAACTGTTTTTTTCATTATCATCCCATGCAAAGCAGTAAAGCCAATAAGACACAAGGGGGAGAAAGAATAAGAAAAAAGAAACCTTATTAAGGAGCAATAATAGAAGAGTAATCATGAAGACACTAGACAATGATTGACACTGCATTAAAAATCAATGTTGACTGGAAAGCATGGATCTGGAAGAGTTCTACTAGCAGAAAGTGTGAGAAAAGAAACTTATGATTACACCTAGTCAATTCAACTGTAAATTCATGAGACCTTGCTGCCAATCTAGTACTGCACTTAAATTTATAAAGTCTAGGAGGTACCATTGTGAAGAGTTCATCCAAACAATTACCCTGAAAGTATTTATAACAATACTTCTCCCATTAGCTATTAGTAAAATAGTAGGGTAGTCTAGGATTTTTTTTTTTTTTTTTTTGGCTTGGCAACAAGTCTAAAGGAACAATGGTGCATTCAAGACCATGGAGAAACCACTCCACTATCTTATCTACAAACAGCCTTGGCAGTGCTCAGATTTTATAATAGATAATTTTAAAATAAATTGTGGAGAGCCTTGGTCATCCCATTTTCTATTGTCTAAAGTCATTCACCACTTTTTGATCTTTTATAATATGATGACTTGTGAATGTTAAGGTGTGTGTATGTGTATATATATATAATTATATATATATATATATATATATATATATGTAAAATGAACTGTTACATTAGAACATGCAAGTTACTACTACAAAATTGCATATTTTGTTTCAACATTTAGTACATATCATCAGGTAGTTAACAATGATGGTAGTAACGATTTTATTTAAAATTACAATTTATGAAACATAACCACTAAGGATAACATTAAAATGTTTATATAAAGATAATATAACATAAGAGGAGTGATTATTGAGTTATAAAGTTTAGCAAGGTTAATTCTTTAATATGTTTGCAATTCATCATAGTTCCATATCTTTGATTTAATATTTTATCACTATTCAAGAATTTAATTATTTCCATTTTCTCCTGTAGGCAGAGGAAGCACGGTTCATTCACCAATTGCAAACATATTAAGGAATTAACCTTACAATCTTGCTAAACTTTATAACTCAATAATCACTCCTCTTGTGTTATACTTAGTAGTTTATTCTAGTTTAAGGTATTAAATTGGTTAGTATTTTTAAATTACTGATAGTATGGTTAGCCATGAATTGGCTTGTTTTTTTTACTTGTGGTGTTAAGTTTTAAATTTAAAATAAATATATAAAAATCATATAAAAGTTTAAAATTTATTTTGTACTCTAATTTATAATGTAAAGTTGGTATAGTTATGTATAGTTTTTCTTCTTTGGGTACTATGTATAATTTTGTTTGAATATGTGATTTCATTAAAAATTTCATAAAATTTGAGATGTGACATTGTAATATGTTACTATCTTATGGCATTTTATTTCCATTCAAATTTGAATTCTTATCAGCATGGCTTCATTGGTTTAAACTCGTATCAACAATTTTTCATATCTTATTTTCTCTTTCCTCTTCCTTTGTATCTGTATAATTTGGATATACTCCTCTCCTTTTTCCTGTCCATTCTCTTGGTAGTAGGGTTGATTTCTTATGCTTTCTTATACCTTTCTTTTATTTCCTCTTCCTTTTATTGATTTATTTTCTTTCCTTTATTTTACTTAAAAAAAAAAATAAAAAATTTTTTTTGCTTTTATGGAAAATTTTCCAAAATGTAAAAAGTGATGTTTCATAAATTGTAGTTTTAAATAAAATCGTTTATTGACATAATTGTTAACTACCTGATGAGATGTGCTAAACATTTAAACAAAATATGCAGTTTTGTATTAGTAACTTGCATGTTCTAATGTAACAGTTAATAATAAATATTTATTGCTCTAATCTTGTATTAAGCCCATTTTGAAATTAATGTTATGAATGTTTGAATTTTATTCTTTTTGTTCTTTTACATTTGGACATATATATGTAAAGAGATAAAAAGCAAGTGGCCACTATCAAATGATGGTCTAATTAGTTGCAATAAAAAGCAACTACATTTGACAACAAAAATACCAGTTGAAAAGTCAATCCCCAGTTGTGAAAGCAATGTGTTTTTTGGCTTTGTTCTTTATTTTCTGAAAGTTATTCTTTTCAATGAAAATAAGCTTATTCTAAGCTTTATCATAGCATAACTGTAAGACAATGTATGATTGTCAGCAAAAAAGGAAACCCAAGATACATATTGGGGGATGACAAAATCAAGCAGATATGGAACTTTAACCATCCATGTAATATAGTGACAGAAATCCAGAGGCATGCAGAAATAGCAAAAAAGGATATGGAAGTGAATGTTGGATCATTTCACAAATGAATCTTGAAGACACCAATGTGTTTCTATTGTCAAATGCTCAGAATATTATTGCCAGAACATGTGGGGATGTCTAGAAAATAGGAACAAGGAAACTTACAATCAGAAAGTTAAAATTTCTGGAGCATATAATAGGAAAGAGAGTTTTTAACACTCACAGGATGTACTGAAAACAAACCGGAGAATGATGACTGCAGAACAGAGGCAAAGAGGGATGTTAGAGGAGTAAAAAAAAAAAAAAAATTACTCAGAGTAGAGCAAAAACAGGAAGAGCCATGAACACCCATATATTGAAAGGACTTTGCACATAAAAATGAATAGTAGCATAAAATAAAGCCTCAGTGAGTTTAATTATTCATGCAAGATAAAAATTGTAAGTTAATGATTGTCATTACAATATTCACAATTAAGAAAATCAATTTCTTATCAAACTGGGTAGTGCCTAATTTTATTTTTTTGTTTTTTTCTTCCCCTAGTTCAATTCTGGAAGTCTTGACAGCTCATGTGATGAATCAAGCAGCTTTGAAGATGATAACCTGGAAGATTTAAATGACAAATTCCAGAAAGTTGTTTGCAATGGAGAAGTTACTGGTGAGACCAATAGAGAGAAACTTGTGATTCTTACATTCAGCTAAAATGTTTTTTGTTTCATGACCTGATTTTTCTTTGTATAATGAAAAAGTAAAAACAAATTTGGCTATAAAGAAAATAAATATCTTTAGAATACTAAACACTCAAGTTGGAAATTCTTAGTTAAAAATAATCTGGAATTAATCAGAAGTTATATAGTTAAAAAAAGAAAATAGTTGAATAATTATAATGAATATGAACATTCATTTAGATACCATTTTGATTTATTTAAGTACTCTCCTCCAAAAACAAACAAAAGGCAAAGAAACAAATTTAGTTGGATTTATTTTAGTAGTGAAATTTTTTTTTATATTTGTTTGTAATTTAAAAGCCATGTTCTGTAGAGAGATAATCATTAGTACAAAATATTGAATATAGAACAGTATGTTGATCTAGCTATCTTCTTTTCAGATATCAATCCTCTTCCTTTTGAGATGAGCAAAGAAGAAATACTGAAGAATTTTAATAAAGCTTGCCATATCTTGATGCAACTTCTCAAAAGAAAGTTAAAGGGTAAAGTTTTCTTTATATTTAATGTTTAAATTTTTACCATTTTCTTAACTGACCACCATTTCTTTTTATTTTCCTGACTATTGTAATAGGCCTAACTTGCCTAACATTTACAATAAACTTTGGATTTTTATAGTTTTAATCTGCTCAAATATAACACAAAATAAATTTACTTCTGCATTTCAAGAGTTATCTTACTGTTCTAATTTTAGTTTCCCTTCAGTGAAATTGTAGAAACAATTATCAATCAGTTTAATAATTCTTGAATTGTTTAATTACTGTTATTTAATGCAAACATAGGAGTTGGACAATGGCCTTGATATTGTCAATATACTCTAAGCAATTTGTGTATTACCTTCAGTAAACACCCAACTTGTTTACTTCCTTGTATCTTTATGTGCATTTTATGAGCCAATCTCTCAGAACTGTATTTGATAGGACAAACATTAATTTTATTACAAAATGCTGTACAAATTTGTTATAAGTATTTTCAAAAATATTGAGAAAAATTGAATACTTTTTTTTTATAAATCTTTGTCATTCACGTGTTATAATCTCTTATCAGTTGTTTTCACACATGAATAATGACCCATCATACTTTAACAGTTGCTTCCACATTATGCATTTACAAGTGTATACACTGGTTATGAAAACTTTTACAGAAAAAAATATTTCTTATCAATTATCAATATGTATATAATTTATCATTTGTTGACTAGCTTAGCATCCATTAAGAATGGTGGGATTCTGTTTTGTTTGTATTTCTATTAAATATTCAAAAAGTTTGATTTACATTTTATTATCTTTTTTCCCAATCAGCATTTTTCATTCAAATTTTTCATGTTCATAAAACTTCAGTAACTTTGAGTTTAACATGCTATTTTTTTTTTAAAGTAACTAATTAAACTGTTCTGCTCAAATGTTATAAAAATTCAAATAAAATTAAATCTGTTCACTTAAAATGTAATAAAAAAATTTATATAATTTTACATTTACTTTAAAAAGAATGCCAAATTTGTGAGAAATTTTAAAAACTCAGATCAAAGAAAAAAGTTTTTTTTTTTTTGTTTTTTTTTAAATGAATATATATATATAATAAATTATAAGTTTTTACATTGCAACATGCATTTCAAAATGCATGTTTTTTTTTTGTTTTTTTTTTCACTCTCAGCAATAGTTTGAATTATTATTTTTTTCTTCCCCTCCCCCAAAGAATCTGAAAAAATCTCCATGACCCTACCTTCTCCTGTTGTGGCTAATAATTCACACACTGAACTAGAAGTGCAATTGTCAGAACTAAGGAAGGAAGTGGATGAATACAAGGACATTATTGAGCTCCAGGATCAAGTTTTAAGGGTAAGACAATGCTAAACAAAACTTTATTTGCTACAAATATAACTCTAAATTTTTATTTTATCTACAAAATCCCGCTTTTTATGCCTTACATAAATGTTAACTTCAAATGTTCATTTAATTTTCATTATTTTAGCCATAAATCTTGATTTTTATGAGATGGCTCATTTTTCAATGACTTATCAATTTTTCATACTGTTAAAAAAATAAGTCATACCAAGTAAATCCTGGCTGTTAAGGTTTCTAAGAATTTACTATTTAATAAGAAAACTACTTCTAGATGGCTGAGTTTGGTGAATAAGATAGATGATACATTTTAGTAATGGATTTCTTAATCAGGAACTGAGAAACTCTATATACATCAAACACAAGAGTATTGTCATGGTCATGCATCCACTTGTCAGACCAAGGTTTGTTTTTTCCTTTCAATTTCTTGTCTTTCAACACTTTCAAATAAACACTTGCATCTGTTCTGTATTTTCGTTCACATCTCATCCTTCTTTGAACTGCCTGTGTCACTAAAAACACTCAATTTTTTAAGCCATTTAGTGAGTTCTTTGTAATGCAGCACAAAAAAAACAATAGCAATGACCCATTGACCGGTAATCAGTGCAACAGATCAGAGAACTTTAGTCTTGGACTTGCTGATCAATTTGGTTTCCAAAACTTGATTTCCAATACCACTTCTAGGTCACCAGTCTGCAAATGGATAATTTCTTAAGTTGAATGAAGTCTTCAGTTGAACTGTTTTTTCACTGCAAAGAAGGCAATAAAGCCACTAGGACAAAAGAACAGAAATCAAAGACAAAAGATGGTGACTGACATTGCATTTAAATTTTTGAAGTTGTATTTGGCAGGAAAATGGGAAGCCAAAAGAGACTTACACAAATGAGAAGTTCAAGAAACAATTAGCATAGAACTTATGGTTACAACTAGCAATTTCAACAGTAAACCTAGCTGCCAATCTAGTACTGTAATTCATGAAGTAGATGTACCAATGAAAGCTCATCAGAACAATTACCATGAATATATTTATAGATGAGGCTATAGAAAGCTATATTAGAGTGCTGGGAAAGTGACTGAAACTGAGATGTCCTGTCAGGACCGATAACATTGTCATGTCTTCCCGGGCAGTGGTGTCAACTAGCAGCATCTTCCCTGGCAGCCAACCCACAAGTTTCTCAGGACCACAAGACCAAAATCAGCCTGCTTCTATTGAGATAATCCAACTTGACCAGAGTTCATTTTGATTAATTATGAAAAAAAAAATAATTTTTTCAAATTTGACCTGTTTAAATCTTCTTTCAGGTCTTAGTTTCCATTTAATAAAAAAATCTTTCACTGCCACTCTCAGGATCAGTGTGTATTATTTCACTGACCAGATCTTCTTTGGCCAATTAACATTCTCTAGTTTAATTATGATTTCCCCAGCATCCATTGTTCTGTTCACTCATACAATTTCAAAACTCAACATACTTTAAACTTTTTCAGGAATTACTTTCTCATCTCATGAATGAGAAATTAATGATTGACCATTTTGTTCACATAGAAATCTTTCCTCAGTTTATTCATCCAATTTCACACTTGCCTTTTCCAGCAAAAATATCAACATCTAACCAGTAACTTTATAACTAATGTTTTAATCTTCCAGCTTTCAAAATAGATTACCACTTAAATGATATTTGCGTTCTTTTTCTCAGTCAGTTCTGTTTTCTTTAGACAGACATTTTCATCTGCATTTTCTTTTTTTTTCTTTTTTTCCTAGCTTAGTTTCCCTGTTGTCAATGTTTAAGGTTCTGGTCAAATCTCACACTCTCTGGACTTTTTATTCAGTATCAATGAAAACAAACTCCAAGTTGCTCCTGGTCTACTAGTAAAATCCAAATTACTGACAGTGGCTATCTGTTTTTCACATTGACCTGTCAAGTTAACTTCATTCCAATTTACCACCAGATGTAAATTCACTTGTGAAATCCATTCCACTTTTGCTACATTTATGGAAGAAACAAAACTAAAGTCTTCTTTCTAAAAACAAAAATAAAATTTACACACAAAAATAAATTGATTTTATTTAAATTTAAGTGATCATTCCATCTTCAATTATCCAATTTTTAAACTGTCTTTCATATTTAGTAGTTCTCATTCCACTTTTCATACTTTTTTGTTTAATAAAATGTAGTTTTAAATTATATGTAATATAGGAAAATACACATTTTGATTTTGAAACTGTTGTTTCATATATCTTGTACAAATTTCAGTATTTTGAAGAATTACCATGTTTGAACAAGGCTATGTTCATGGAAAATCCAATTTAGATCAAACTCTTAATAACCAATAAATTCCATTTGTATATGGAAAAAATATTTTTTGTATTTGTAACTTAAAATCAACCAACTTTTTTTTTTCAAATGTGGAGAATTAAAACAAACCATTTTTAGGAAATTTAGCAGGGAACATGATTGTAAAAACTTGCAATATACATAACTTTTCTTGTTTTTTAACTGAAAATGTGATTAAGATTAATTCTCCATTATACATAGAAAAAGAACATTTTTACAGAATTTTTTTTTTTTTTTTTTTTTTAAATGAATAAAATTTTGGAATATTTACATTCCTGGAAAATTTTAAGCATGTATGAAAGTCTTTGAAGAATCTTTTCTAATATTTTATCAGTTACTCCTACTAAAGACACTTAATGTTCTGAGTTTTTGCACGATTATATAATCTTTGAGTAAACACAAAGCCAAATTTAGAGAGCAGTTTAATAGTCTAGTCTTAAGAGGTCATGTTTTGAAGAGTGAGGCCCCATACTTTGTTGCCTTTTGAAAAAGTTCTCCATTTCAATAGCCTCGTGATTAGATATTTATTTCACATGACTTTTTTTAATAGTTTTCTGTCAATGTATGCTATGGCTTCATTGGTAAATATCAATTATACAGATCATAGTGAAATTTTCAGATCAAAATTTAGCTAACTTAATGACATAGATGTTAGATTTTTTTAAGCAGGATTTAGTCTTCATTTCTTAATCTTTAGTAGAAATGAGTTAAGTTCCTGATGGATATTTTATTTTTGATTAACTGATATTTGATATTTCTTTGCAAATCTATAGATACAATGATGAAAGTTACCTCGGTGCATTTGATTTGACTTCTTGTTTAATTTTTTTCTTTTTTTTTCTCTTTTTTTTTTTTTTAAATTTTGTTTATATTTAAATTCTTAAAGTTCAATAAAGTTGCAATCATTTAGTTAGATTTGCTTTTTTAACCATTTTGGGTGAATCTTCACTAAACTGAATGCTTGTTACAACCTTCCTGCTTTCTTTGCTCTTCCTTAACTCACAGAATGTTGTAGAAAGCATGCCAGAATCTCAACCCAACAATTCTTTTCTGCATGAGTCCCAACTACTTTTTGAGTATGAAGAACTTAAAGCCAAGAAGCGGCTGTTCTTGGAAGAGAAAGAGAATTTCGACAAAGAGCGATTACTCTTCACAAATGCTGCTATCAGGCTTGCAGAGGAGGTATGTTGCTGCTTCATTTCTCATCTTTTCCTTATACTGCCTTATTTTCCATTTCCCTGCTGCATGCTGAACGTTTTTTGCTCAATTTTCATTTCTCATCTTTTTTCAGCCTGCAAAATCTCTCTTTAACTTGCTTGAAAGATTTACAGAATTTGATACTTTGAACTTATTTCTCTCCCCTGGATCTCTGATTAAATCTTGCACCCAATAAAAAAATCTTATACAACAATAGTTAGTGAGGCACATGTACCCAAATTTGTAATTTTTAGTAATTTAATTCTTAGACACATGTACATTTACAATAAACTTTGGGTTTTTATAGTTTTAGTCTGCTCAAATATAACACAAAATAAATTTACTCCTGCATTTCAAGAGTTATCTTACTGATTATACTATTATTTAATCCAAATGTCTTTTAATTGAAGTCAGTACATCCTCTATTATCTTAGAATTAAATTTTCTCTTCATGCCCCCTAATTAAGTTAGACATGTTATATAAAGTACTTTTTGTTCTTGTAAGTGGAGAATAAGGCTTTGGGAGTAATCTGATACTGAATCAGACATTGGAAAAAGGTTGAAAGAAAACATCTGCCTATGGAAATGTATAGTAAATACAATGCTCATTAGTAAAATATTTCCTTATTAATTTTAAAGCTTCAGTTGAATATATGGATAGGTAAAAATTGTGGCATTACTGCATATTTTAATTTACTGACCGTTTTAGCTGTCCACTCTTCTAATGAATTTAACCATTAACATTCTGGAAATGATTTTGTTTGCAAAACAAAAATTTTATCCTGCCACTGCAAATGACTCTGATGAATGAATGTTTGAATTATGCAGTTGTGTTGTCTATGGCAACAGAAAATGACCATGACTGAAATTAGTTGAGTAGAGGAGCCTTGAAAAATAATGCAGTAGAAATGAAAGTAATGAATAATGCTGTGTGTTAAAGGTTAATTTATACAAAATGCATTTCTAAGTGGTAGGCCACAAAATCCAAGGTTGCATCTTGTAAACTGTTACCCAAAGCTTGTTATTGAAGAAAAAAGAAAAAAATTGTAATTTCAGTCTAGACCAAAGTGTTATTCTCCTATTAGTTTAATATTTGAGAACTGCATCATAATCACTTAGTATGACTATGTCCATGACTTCATCAAAATGTCTTAAGATATTTTCAGAGGCAAAGTTAAACATTTTCATTCTTCTTTAAATGTTAGTAATGGGAAAACTTAATTGTAGAATATGTAGAAAGAGATATCAACATAGTAGTTCAGTCATAAGTCATACTGCTTGTTCACTGTTAAAAATTATAAAGTCTCTGAGAATTCAATATTAGCTACAAAGATTGTTACTAAGTTAAATTCTAGAATTTAACGATAACACATCTAGGTACATTAAAAAATAATGATAGAAAGAACTGATGTTATTTATACTATGTACATTCAAGCTATTTGTCCTCCTCTTTGTTGTCAACAAAAACAAGTAACTCCTCATCCCAGAAATTCAGATAGAAAGAACTAATGTGATTGCTCTGAAAGAATATTAAGGACAATTTTGATTGCTTGAAAAAAATTGTAATAAATATAAATTAAATACCTCCAATAATTTGCTGAAAAAAGAGCATACCATAATGAAAAAAGGCTCCAAACTTGGTAAAAATAGTTTTATCATCAGACCAGTCTTTTTTAATTATTTTTAAAAAAAATTTTGACCTCTTTCCAACACATTCAAAATTTGTGTTAAAAAATCTTTTTCTTTTGTCAACAGTGTGACAGAGCTGGTAATGGACATTTTCGTGCTGCCATTCCCAGTGAAAAACACATTAATTTTGAAATTCTTGCAAAAATCAAATAATTGTCAGATTTTAATTAAACTTTCAGGACTTATTCACAAATTATTAAATTTATTTTTGAAATTATTATTTTTAGAAAATTTTGTTAAAAGTATTTATTTTAATTTTTTTTTAATTTTTTTTTTTTTTTTACATGTTAATACCCACCACCCAATTTCTAGAATTTAAAATTGCCAACCAAATGTTTTTTATTAGTTAAAAGCAAGAGATCTTGGAGAGTGTAAATCATCATTTTTTTTTTTCCCCCTGAACTACTACCAACTTTTCTAATATCTGCTCCAAATCATAAAAACTGCAATAAAACTAATTATTTACTGAGATAAGCTTTTGTTTCTATAAATAATATATATAAGGACATTTATAGTCTGAAGAAAAAAAATTTTTCAATGAATAACAAATTTTTACAAGAATTGTTTGCATTTTTCTTTTTTTAATTATAAAGTTTCAAAATTCTTTGAAACATTGATAAAGTTAGGTTAAGTGAAGACTATATTTACTAAGCAAAAATTGAAAAGTTTAATACAAATCATCCTACCAAAAATTTTTACAATAATGAAAAATAATTTTTTTGCATCTAAATGTTGTTTTTTTAAGGATAGTGTTTCATATGCAGCATCATTGTTAGGTCACAATTCTCAAGGTTGTCCCCATCCCTTACACTCATAAACCTTTTAGTTTTACTTAAGAAAAATGTTTTTATTTATTTTTTTTAAATTTTTTAAGTTTCTTTATTCTTTTTTGTGAGTTATATTTTTATAAAAAAACGTTTGAAAGGTAACCTTTTATTTCATTTACAGTTGAGAGTAGTTTTTTCTCATTTCATTTTTAATTGTGGTAAGATAGTTCCACTAATTCTCAATACCTAAGTTTTAAAAATGAATTGAAAGAACAAAAATGAAAAAGCTCTAATTTTAGCTTTAATTGAAAACTAAATGATTAAAAAGCTAAATTTTTACTATTTCCAGTAAGCCAAATACTCTAGCGTACTTAAGGTTAAATTAATCTGATCTGAAACAAAAAAAAAAAAAATTAAAATGTCTAATATTGACGCAAAAAAGAAAAATTAACCAAAATTTCGAATGCATTAGAAAAGATTAAAAAATTAGAAGAACTCAATAATTTATGAAATATTAATTTAAGAAATTTTTATAGTATTCTAAATTTTATATTTTCAAAAAGCATCTTCAATCGTAAGGTTAAGTACCTAAAATAAATAAATCTATAAAATATCAGATAATTGCTTAAAGTATTTTGTTAATTTTTAAAAATTACCTGGTAGTTAAAAAACAAAAACAAACCGTTCTTACTTAAAATTTCTTTTGGCCATCAATTTATAGATGAAGACATGAGAATAACAAGGCCTTGTGATCAAGAAAGTAATATTTGTTTCATAACAAATTAACTTTAAATTTGCTAATTTTATGCAAATAACATTTCAGAAATATTTTATTTTTGCAAGTATTTTAAAACAGAATTAAGTTTAGTTTACAATATGTGAAAAAACTTTAAAATGGCCATTTCAATTGATTTTTCTAGGAGAAAAAAAAATGAATCTGCTAAAAATCATTCTAATTTGAAATACACCACAATTTGCTTTCTGGAATTAGAAAATGTAATTCTTTAGCTTTCAATTGAGGCTAAAAAGAAAACTTAAAGATTTTTTTATTTATGAAAATACATTTAAACCTTAGGTATACCGAATTATTGAAGGCACCTAATATAAATGTTCTGTGCATTTAACTGACTTTATTTCTAAATATTTTAGAAACGATCATTTCATGATGAGAAATTTCAACAGCTCAAACAGCAAATCCTGGATTTAACCCCACAGAGAGGGAGAAACAGGGCTAAGAATTCTTCTTACAGTAAAGAATGTGAGTAAAATAAATTTATTTTTCTTTACTATATAAGAATAAGACATCTCAATAGATTTTCTACATTATGTAGGAATTGACAGCCTGTAAAGTTATATTTCTAAACCTAAGTAAATTAAAACTAATTATACAAATCACCACTTTTTACATATATAGATACACATACATAAATCCTGAAAAATTAAGTGCATGGGGTACAAAATGTCTGATTTTCTGTAATAAAAATATTTTAAACCTGTTCTGCCATGCTTGTATGATTTCTGTACAGGCAATGATTAGGATTCATAAAAATCAGTTGTAGTATTTACACCAAAAAAGCTAAACTGGTTTTAATTTACTTTTTTTTAATATGGTATCAAAATCTTTCACATTGAAACTTTTTTCCTCTTGAATATGAATGATTTTATTTGAATCTTTTATTTATCTTACATTTGTCATTTTAAGCTTGTATAAAATAAATAAACATTAAGTATTTACTAAATCTTTTTCCAGATGCTAATCGAATTCTTCCTATGACTCCTTCTCAACACTCTGCAAACCAAAAACCTAACAAATCAGACATATATGAAACAATTGATTTATGCCAGAATCACTTTCAAAATAGGTAAGTAAAATGATTTTAATTGTTCTATGCCATCTGTTGTACAATGTTGTGTAAATCTGAGAAGTGTCATTGAAATTTATTCAGCTCTTTATTGCTTATGTAATCAGTCAACTAATATGGCATTTACAAAACTTAATTAATAGCAGTAAATGAATATAATGATTTTCTAAGCCCAGCTTAGATGTGGTACAAGGCCAAAAGTATGGGGCACCCAGTGAGGATCGAACTCACTACTCAGTCATAAGTGATCTAGCAAGACAAGGTTTCTAACCATTACACCACGTCGAGGTAAATGAATATAGTTGGGTTTTCCACTTTATACAACACTCCATGTCTGATCAGATATTAGTTTCTAAAATTCAAAACCAGTCATTTTTACAATGGAATACACAATTTAACTGTAAGGTCACACAAGGCAAAGAAAACTAGGGAATAGCAGAATTCATGGGAATTTTTGTATCCACCTTATATAATATGTAGCCAAAACTATTGCAGCAATAAAACATGTTGATCTAAAAATTTAAGATTATATACATGCTAATGTAAAAAGTGAATCTGAAATCATTGTAACTAAATTTTAAATGAAAGAAAAACACATTAAACATTTGTAGTAAATTTCATCAGCCTAAGTTTTCCTCTGATCCAAACAGAATCAGACCCAAAAATGTTCAAACACTCACTGACTGAATCTCAATAATTTAATGAAAAGTTTTTTTTTTACACTCACTCCAAATTATATATACACACTCAGTTTATTCAATAAAAAATATGATGGATAGGGGTGTTATGGGTACTTTAATTCTCTTGCTAAATGGATGAATTTTAAATATTTATTTGCTTTGTCACTGTTGTCAGTTCATCAATATACTTGTAAAACTACAATATCTTAATCCTTGGCCTAATTTTGAACCATGAATTTTTTTTAATCATTTCACCCAAAGTAAAGTAATAAATCCATTAAGATATGCAAAGGGTTACTGTTAGAGCGAGATTGAAATAAAAAAACAAAAAGGAAGGCTATTGAGGAGAGAGAACAATAAAAGAACAGGGATTAAGACAGAAAATAACAATTGACATTGCATTTAAATTTTTGATCAAAGTGGACTAAGCAAGAAGCACATGAGAAGAAACTGTTAGCCTAGAATTTATGGTTACATTTAGCCATTTCAACTGTAAAATGATGAGACCTTTTCACCAATCTAGAACTGAGCTTAAATTAATAAAGCTTAATTATTATAGAGAAAATTTCATCAGAGCAATTATTATGAAAGTATAGAAAAGGTATGTGGAAGCTATTTTACAATGGTAGGAAAGTGACTGATCGAGATGCCAAGTCAAGCCCAATAACATTGCAGATTCTTCTTTGGATTTTATCAACAATCTCTAAATATATAGCTGGAGCATCAGACCAGATGTGGCGGTAATATTCAAAACAAGGACAAATGGTAGACTTATAATAATGTAAGATAGATTCTGGCAAGAAAAATTGTCTAGCATGACAGTGAACCAACTTTCCTAGCAGCAGATTCAATATATTTTAATTATGTCAGCAGAAAATGTCAGTCCAAGAAGGTGCAATGAGTCCCTCTCTTGAAGGTTTATATCATCCATGCTGATGAAAGGCAAAAAGGAATCTTTCAGACGATTAACAGAAAGCAGTTTCATTTTGGAGGCGTTAAAATAAACAAGCCATTCCTTGCCCCAGTTAACAGATTGTAGGTCATTTTTGAGATCAGCTGCAATTTTATCTTACTGAACCAATCAGTTACTATTAAGGCAGGAGTAATTACTGTAGTTTAAATGAAATAAGAAGCATCTTTTCTATTTCTAGTATACCAATCTAAAAAAATAAATTGAGGTTGGAGGTAGCATAAAATAAGTTCTTTTTCCAAAGTAAATCACTCAATTTTACAAACTCCCCACCACAAAAAAAAAAAAAAAAAAAATTACCCAATATCCTTTGCACCCTGAATATGTACTTTGTGTCTACAAACAAAAAGTTAGTGTATATTATACATATACTGGCATGCAAAAGTTTTGGGCCAAATACATAAAATGAAGACCCATGAGGGAAAAAAACAATGCAAGATTCACCTCAATGATGGTAAAAATCTGAAGGTGTACATGTAATGGTGTGGAGTTGCAACAAAAGTGATGGTAGAAGAAAATTGGTTAAGTTGATGGTAGAAGAAAATTGGTTAAGTTGATGGAAACCTAAACAAAGAAAACTATATTAGTTTACTCCTCTAATTTTCTGCCAGATTATGAAGATGGAGAAGGTTTTCTGCATGACTGTGCTCCTTGCCACATATTACATGCAACAAAAAGGTTTCTTGTGGATGAAGATGTTTAACTGAAAGTCCTGATCACAATATAATTGAATTATTGTGGGGGCAAATGAAGAAACAAGTGCTCCAATGAAAACCATGTAATCTCCAAGAACTTTGAGATCACTGCCAAAAAGAATGGAGAAAAATTCCCTAAGAAAACTTGAACCTTGTTCATTCAATGCCACATTGAATTGAGGCAATTATTAGAGCCAAAAGACAACAACACTGATTACTAACTCCATATTTTGATGTTTTGTACTTTCTGTAATAATAAAAATCACTTTTTGAAAAGAAAAAATATTCCTTTTAAAAAAAAAAAAAAGAAAAAAAGATGCTCTACCATCACATTTTATAGCAAAAACAGAGTAATTTGTTTTCTGGCCCTCAAAGATCATAAAATGCAGTAAGAAAAGTATACAGCTAATCACTCTTGTTTTAGGGGTAAAAGTAATTTACAAAACAAAAGTAATTAATTTGCCAAGGTGGTCCAATATATTTTTTCATGCAGGGTTACAAAAGCTTGATTCAAAAGAAATGTTTTGCATATTTAGGAAAATTGCAATAGTTCTGCTTGACTTTATTTTTAAAATATTTAGGTTTTATTTGAAGCTAAAATTTTTTTTTTTTTTTTTTTGTTTAAAAAATTTTTTCAAGAAGCTTAGATATCTTACCACTTCAGACTCAAGCCAACTTTATTTACAATATACATATAACTAATATCTTTACTGCATGGACTTTGACAGCATTTTCTTAGCAGATTCAAATGATAAAACTTATTTGATGTTTTTCTTTCTTTTTTTTTTTCAGGAGTAAGTGTTCATTAGAAAATGTCACTTTGCCCGACTCTACACAGTCATCATCATCATACTGTCATCAATATGTTCGCTCTCAAAGTTGCCATGAATCCTTCCAGCACAGTTTACCGTCCACACCCATTAAAGACCATCATCAGAACACTTGTTTGTTACACTCTTCATCATATACTTCTCCATCATGTCGAAGGCAATCAGCTCCCATCAAGTCAGTATCAAATCCCCAAGTTATCTGTAATAATCCCAGTTTACAGCGCAATGTGAACTTTACCAGTTTGACATCTCTAAATGACAAAATGTATTTACCTGAATGTTTACCAAGGATACGAAGTCATTCAGTTGATGATCAATGTTCATCTCAGACTCAGCCATGAAAAAAAGATGCTAATTCTAGTCAATGCATTTTTTTTTTTTAATTTCTGTATTGAATAGTATGATTGATTGCTTTTCTCTTCTGAACTCTTGAAGAAGAAAAAAAAGAAAAATATTACTTTCCTCCATCAAATATCATCCTGAATAATAATCCTGTCAATTTCCTCTTGTTTACTACAAAATCACAATTCAGTATGAAATACAAGTATGACTTCATCATTCCTTGTATGGGATGAAAAATGGATCATTTTTTACTTTTTATATTTTTTCTTTCCACTCATTCCAAATGGTCTTCCTTTTCTCTTGCCATTTTTTTTTCTAAATCCACTGATACTTCATAGCAAAATCAATCAGCTATTTATTCTTTGTATTGTTAGCTTTTTAATGGTTATTTTTCTTAAATATATATTTGCATACTGCATTCCATTTTGAATACCCATCTCCCCAAAAGAACTGCTACATCTAAAATGCAAATAGTCAGGATCTTGCATGGCTCAGTATTAATATACATATATACAAAATGTAAACACTAAAATTATCACAGTAAGCTTGAGCTTTCTTTTCCTGACACTTTCTTTTCTTCTTCAAAAGTTCAAGAAGTTTCTTTGAAGTGTGTTATCTAATTTGGCCAGGCTAGTCAAAAAAAAAAAAAAATATATATCTATCTCTGCAGACATCAAAACATGTCCATCCCAAGAAAAAATGTGAACACCAAATCTGCAGGTGGATACATTCAGATTTTTGTAAATATTTTCAGTTGAAATTTGTTAACAGAATAAAAAATATTTCTTGTTTTTTTATAAATATTTGATATTTTATTTTTTACAGTTAAGCACATCTTTCACTTTATACCATATTCAATAAAGATTAAATATTGACATAAGAAACAATGGGAGGCTACACAATTGTGAACATCCAATTCTGTACAAGGGGAATAAATGTTGTTTTGACTTGAGTTTAAATTTTTATCAAGTTGATGGTATTGAGCGTTTTTAAAGTACATGTAATATAAAATTAATTCACTCTTCATTCAAGATTAATGTAACACTTACAAGTACTGGATTCAAGCTTTTACTATCTCTACTAAAATATAATCAATTTAGTTTCATGTAAGAAAAAGTTAATAGCTTTAGGAAGTAGTTTAAAAGAAAAATTTCAAAACAATTTCATGTACATATTCTAAATTTTCTTATTAATTATAAAAAGAATATTAAGCTCAAAGCTAATATGTAAATTAATGAAGATTTTTATACCATTTCAATTCTTTTGCATTATTTGGAATTTGGTAGAAAAGTCTTAACTTTAAATTAAAATTTTTTTCAAGAAAAAAATGCAATTAGTTTCTCCACTAATTTGCAATACCGAAGATTTCAAATGAATTTTTTAAACATAAAAAAGCTTGAAGCTTTAATTGAAAGCTAAAGGATTAAATTTACTATTTCCAGTAAGCAAAATACACTGATGCATAACAGAAACTATACTGATTGGAATAATTTTTTTTAAAATAGCTGATTTAACACCCCACTTTTTTTTCTTTTTCATCTCAATGTAATTTTCTGTATTAATTCTTCCAAAAATAAAATATACTTTTCTGAAACTTTATTTGAGGAATATTAAATGATTTAAAGTATAATTAATCTGACTTGAAAAAAAATATTAATTACTTTAAGTTTAAAATAATACAGAAATGCATTTTTAAAACAAACAGTAGCCATGTTTTATGTGGTTGACAGGTGATTGTTGTTCTATGGAGACTTATCTGTAAAATGTGGCTCTAGATATCTCCAAAGCGTTTGATAGGGTTTGGCATACCAGCCTTCTTTACAAGCTTCAGGGTTATGGAATTTCAGGTCGATTGTTTGACTTAATACAATCATTCCTATCAAACCATGTATTGAAGGTCGTTCTCAATGGATTCTCCTCTAGCTCCTATCCCACAAACGCAGGTGTTCCCCAAGGCCCTACTCTGTTCCTTATCTTCAACAATCTTCCTGGCGTCATAGATTCCCAAGTAGGCATCTATGTGGATGACACTACAATTTACTCCTTTCTCAAAAACAAATCTAGTGTCGTTGACAAAACTAACCTGGTCATTAGTCTTGAAAAGGACCTCCAATCGGTTGTGAACTGGTAATGCCTCAAAAACAAAACTGCTCTCTATTACTCACCACAGAGAACCATCCCTGCTCAACATTAAAATGTCTGATGCTTGACTTCTCAAGAGCTCCTCTTTGTGACTACTCGGCCTCACATTGACTGCTGACCTGAGATGGAACAAATCAATAGCTTCATCCACTGCAAAGAAAGTTGGCTCCCTGTGCCACGCCAGGAAATTTTTCTCACCGGAGTCAATCCTTCAAAATCAACCATTTGCCCTTGCATGGAGTATTGCTGCCATATATGGTCTGGTGCCCCTTATGTTTGTCTCAGGGTTCTTGATAAGATCCAGAGACAGATATGCAACGCAACTGGCTCTGATCTGGCATCTCGTCTGCAGTCACTCTCTCAAAGACGTGCTGTTGCCTACCTCTGTCTTTTTTTACAAATACTATCATGGTAACTGCTCCGAGGAGCTACTTTCACTGGTTCCCGAACTTCATGAATTTAAGCGTTCTACTAGGCTGGCATCTCACTCACACCCTTTCACTGTCGAAACTTAAATGTAGCCATCTCTTCCACCCCAATAGCTTCATGTCTCGCACCTCTTGCCTGTAGAACTCCCTCCCCTCTTCCTGTTTCCCTGATAGTTATTATCTCCAACTATTCAAATGTAATGTCAAACAACATCTCCAGATGCCTTGATCTATCCCCTATCCTTCTCTTCATCCTTTCCTCTATCACTCCAACTCTCTAACTCCTTGCGTACTAGTGGCTTCCCACCTTGCTTGGGGTGAAATGCTAAAAAAATAATATATAATTCAAGAAAATGATGTATACACTTTTTTTTTAATAAATTTTAAGTATTCAGTAATCTTAAAATGTAAAATATTCTTCGTAATCTAATTTTAGAAATGTTAACTTTAAATTTACTATAGTCATCACTCTTATTTTTTTGATAATGTCCTGTATGGTCAACCATACTTTCAAAAATGGGCACAATATATATTTTATATAGATAATTAAAAATTATTTTAAGAATCTTGGTGCATGATAATTTGTATTAAGGTTTTCAATTTTTGATTAGTAAATGTAGTTTTCACTTAACAATATTACCTAACAGAATCTAAGTAATGCAGAATTTTAAGATATATAATTTAAAAAAAAAAAAAATAAATAAGTCTTGTAAAAATTCATTATTCATTGAAAAAAAAAAAAAAAAAAAAATTTAAGACAAATCTTATTTATAAAACCAATTAAAAGCTTTTCTAATTAAATAATGCCATAGTTTCTTTTTAACCTGAAATAGGGTACTAAAACACCAATAGTAAAAATTAGGCCAACTGCTGAAGCCAAAAAATTTTTTTTAGCCCCAAACCTCATTAGATGTTTAACAGTATGATGAAAAAAAAGGCCCCAAACTTAATAAAAACAAAGTTTTATTGTCAAAATTCTCATTATTAAGAGGAAAGTATAAAGGCTTAAACAAATATACAATTAATATTAGATTTTTTTTTTTTTATAGGGCATTTTTATTAGGATGGGAAATTTACAGGAGTGAAGCGTTTCTAAATTAAAAAAAAAAATCCAAAATTTAATTTACCTATCAGAATGATTTTTATTCAGAAATTTTATATAAAATAGCTTTTTCTTCCATTCTGAAATCCCACACTCAATACAAGAGACAGATTGAGTCTAACTGGAATTGAGTGAAATAATTTTTTCATTAGATTGATTTAAAAAAAAAAAAAAAAAAAAAAAATTGGCCAGCATCAACACAAAATGTTACACTTTTTTTTTTTCTTTATACTTACCCCCTGCCAACAGGTTCTAGCATAAATACCTCTCACATAATGTCAAGACATTAGCTAGATGAAGACACCATTGTCACTAATGTCTTACCATTTTGTGGAAGGTATTTCAGCTGCACCCTGTATAATGGGTTGCTTCTCTATTTTCCTTGTTTACCAAATCATACAAAATATTACAAGGTTTCAGAAGACATGGCTGGAGATTACATGCAGTCAAGTAACTAAAGCAAAAGATCTATTAGCAAAAATATTGAAAGAAGTTAAAAATCAGATTATAAATAAAGTTTTAATAATGCTAAGTTAATGTATAAAAAGCATTAATATTGGTTTTGCAGTGGGCAGTAATATTCAAATATTACGAAACTTGGTATTTTATGTGGATTTAAATTAAAACAGTATGAAAAATATCCTTTTATAAAATGTTCAAACAGTATTAAAGGGCTTCCTTGTACAAGAACATTAAATGAAATTCACTTTGAATTGTACATTTTTCAAAACCAAAATGTAGAAACAATTACATTAATCCTAATCATTTACAACTTTATATTGATAAATAAGATTCTCTGCAGTATAAGAAAATGTGTGAAGCTTTAATTCATGGTCAAATCAGGAGTTAATTGCTTTCTTTCAAAATCAAGAATAGTTGAAAGTGGCACTTTACTATTGACACACAAAATATAAGTTCAGTTTAAATTTTTCAAATTTAGGTTATACAAAAAAAAAAAAAAAAAATGCATGTTAAAAATTTTCCAAAGGCACACTGAAGCAAAAAGTTGAAAGTCTGAAACTTGGAGATGAAAATTTATTATCCTCCACATGGTAGAAAATGATGAAAAAGAAAAACAGATGACATGAAATGGAAGTGATGAAAACGCTTAACAACGGTGACTATTGATTGGCTGATTCACATGCATCAATCCAGTCACTATACACATCTACTGGCTCTGATAAATCTGAAATAAATGCAAAATGTCATTAAAAAAAAAAAAAAAAAAAAAAACTGTATTCACCACAAAAAATATTCTCATTCATAATTCAAGCATTTACATTTTTATGTACAGTTAAAACCTGCAAGGCTGTGTTTATTATCAAGA